TAGTTTGTGTCTAGTGGAAGTTAAACTCCATTTCTCTTTCTATTTTGCCTCGTCTTGAGGAAAAACTTTGCAGAAGATTTTTTTATGAGGGGCGTCGGGCACTTGTTATTTATTACTATTACTTTATTTTTCTTTCTTCTGCAATTGTAGCCGTGGTGGCTCAGTGAGTAAGACGCTGGTTCGCTAACCATTTGGTCTCGGGTTCGCTTCCGGTGTTGGCCGAGAAAGTTCCTGCGGCCTGGGGCAAGGGTAGTCTCTAGTCATTCGGATGGGACGAAGAAACGACTAGATCTGCGCCACTGACAACGGGAAGCCACACCCGGATAATCCCGAAGAACTTTCTCGACTAACGCCGGAAGCGAACCAAAGAACTTAAAATTAGTAAGCCAGCATCTTATTTTAAAACAGCATTGTAATTAGACGATTGGAAACATATATACGAAAAAGTCTGAAAATAATGCTAGTAAAAAATCTCAACTGGCGTAGAAATAAGATATCACTATGTATTACGGCAATATAAACACGGGAACTCAATTTTTCGTCCCATCCGAAAGATTAGACTCTATCCTATTGTAACGTATAATGGAAGGCGGAACGGGAATAATTCTAGTTATTTTCTCATCTGGTGTAGGGACAAGATCTCAGTCTTATGTTTACGTGTGTGGCCAACCATAGCGATGTTCATCAGGTTTATTAAGTTGATGGGAAAACCAGACTACAACTTGAAGATGTTAGCACCCAGTCTCCTACACGACAAGACACCTTTACGGTTCACTTCCATCTCAAAACCGGCAAATTTTCTCATTTTTCCGTTCCTGTTTCTAAAAGTGAATGAAAAAGAGTTTAGTCTCTTGTCAGACAATGCCTCGCTCGCTGGGAGAGTGGATTAACGTGTGCGCTTTAGATCATAAGGTCTGTCATAGAATCAAGTGGCGTGGTTTCGATCCCCTGCTTGTCCGTGATAAGGAGTAGGGTCGTCACTGCTATAGTCCCCTACGCTCAAGCGAATTATTGAAAAAAAAATTCTACCATGCGTTAGTCCCGCAATGACCTGGTTTTTTTTCTTATCGTGGATATTAAATCCTCTCTTTCATTCTTGCCTGCAGATTAGATGGCCGAATGGTTAGCTCGTGCGCGTTGTATCATAAGGTCTGTCATTAAGTCATATCATAAGGTCTGTCATTAAGTCAACTGGTGTGGTTTTAATTCCCCGGTTGAACGTGACAAGGAGTAGGGTCGCCTGTCCAACCACGTGGGTTTTCTTCCTCCCACTGCTAAAGACCCCTACGCGCAAGCGAATTATTGAAATGAAATTGTACCATGTGTTAGTCCCGAAATGACCTTAGTTTTCTTTTATCGTGGAAGTTAAATCCTCCCCCCGCCCTCTCTCTCTCAACACCAAGCGACACTCTTCGAAAAAATTCTAAGGCACCGCCAATTTAAGTACGATGGACATGGAATTTTGTATACTTGTGCTTTGGACAACTGCGCATCAATGAACGGACCAATCTGATTATAATACAGATCTATATTTAGTTTCGTTTTTTTTATACTTTCTATGGCCTACACTACATGAAGATCTGATCGGCTTTTGACCTATGACGTCAGACATTTGATTAACCAATCAGCATTGATGTTACTAGTGGATTACCCACAGTTACAATTCATAGGCAGATTCCGGTCCATAGTTTGAAAAGCGTCGCTCCAATTAGAAAAAGAACCAAATGTTCCTGCTTCAAAAACCTAGACGAAGGAGGAGGGCATTGGGGACTGAAAGATCAATGAAAAACGAACCTAATTGCCGAAGCTCGTGTATGTTTATATGGTAGTGTTTGTTGTTTTTGTTAGTGTATATATCTAGGCCTATTCTAGTAGCCTTGTAACAGATATACCTCTCTACAACCCAGGATAAAACTTAAAGAATTAATCCCTCGTTTATTTGTGTTTTAAAGAAAGTGGTGTTTATCTTTAACAACCGATCCTCATCTATAGAAAAGATGGAGTAAAAAGATGAAAGAGAAAATGAAACAGGTCCATCTTATCACTCCATCATTCTGTCCCAACTCGACATGACGTGTTGCCTTTTTACACAGTTTTTGACAACCCGATACCCAATTTATTTTTTGAGCTTGGATAAATGATCCGCCATTATTTTTTCTAACTTGTTCACACTTGAATTGCGAGCGTGTACTCTAATTTCGCCTTTTATTGCCTTTTGTAAAACAGAAGGTTCGCCATAGTTTCTGGTTTCCGGTTTGATGTTAGTGAAAACTGACAGATGACCGACTCATGTGTAAAATGTTATTCTAGTTTTAATGTGTCCACCCTCCGATCTGGTTTTTCTATTCATGGTATTACCATCGTCATCGTGACCGTGGTTCGGTGGGTGACGTGTTGGCCTACGAACCAGTTCGGTTCCGGTGTTGGCTGAGAAAGTTTTCGGAATTTTCCAGGGTGATTTCCCCTTGTCAGTCGTGCAGTGCGGGGATCTAGTCAAGGAACTTGGTCATGGAACCACAGTGGCCCAATGAGTAACGGGTCCGGGGCCCTTATTCACGAAAACTTAAACTAAGATACAATCGAAATTTTAAGAAATACTGCAATTCGATTGGCTGACCAGTGAAATCAATTTGCATCTATCCAATGAAGTTGCAGTATTTCTTAAAATTTCGATTTTATCTTAGTTTAAGTTTTCGTGAATAAGGGCCCTGACAAGTAAAAACATCTAAAGGTTCGATTGGTATTTTCACCGGACCTCGGCTTCTCGCCCCACCCGAACGACCAGACGTCGTTCTTGGCCTAACTCCCCGTTCTGCACCATTGATAAGGGAAACCCAGAAACACCGTGGCTCCGAAAAGGAATTTAACTTATATAAATCAATTAATAAAAACCAATTTCGTCTATCATTTATATTCTTCATGTAAGTCAACAAAAAACCATTTTATCAGTTGAAAAGATAACAAAGAAAAACTGAGAAATTTAGCTTTAAATTGTAAATTATATTTTCTGTGCAATATTCAATTGTTTTTGTCTAACGGACATTTATATCACATGGCAGATATCGACAACTAACGTGTCACATATTTTCCCATGTTATAACATCATTGATACAGTTATTATCACGTGCATTTTGCTTGTCAATATCTATATATACCGCTTTCTCCTGCGCGCGACCACGAGACAAATCGATCGGGTGACGTCAGGTGGGTGTCTGGATCAATCACGTGATGTAGGATTGGTTTTGTTATGATTTTCTGTGAATATCCGATTTGTAAAACAATGGATGTCGATTAAAGTTTCTCATCGACATTGGAGGTATATTAAATCCCTAGCAAATTAAGATACATGCGTCTTGTGAAAGTTGGATCTCTAAATAGAATATCAGACAAAAATAGTTCAATTTATTTCATTATTGACAAAAAAAATGATGAACAGAAAATCTGGCAACCCCCGGCATACTCTGCAGACGACATGGTCAAAAAACAAACCAGCGCCACCCATGAAAGTCGCAGAAATCTTTTCATGGGCCTCCTTTAATTCGACTGGAACCAAGTCGTGAGATTTCACATCCCATGATTTTTATTTCTAAAATAAATGTTAAATGATTCAATTTGAGTGCATTTTATCGTGGCCATGACAAAAAATTAGATATTGCCCCAAAATGTAAATCACGATTAATGACTGTTGCAGTTTTCGGGGAGATTAAGCGTCGTCGTAAAGTTGTGTACGATACACAGAAATATCTTCAAAAACCCGGGTAAAGCACCACGATGTGAACAGCAAGCCCCAGAAAACAAACTGAATAAAATTGTATATTAATTTCATCGTTTATGTTTTGGGGTTCTCATTCTCTAAGATCTATCTGATATTCAAAACGGCTGCCGTTTAAACATTGACTGTGTTGTGCACGAGACTTTAGTAAGTTCTGAAAAGAGCATTGGACGATATCTTAATGTGAAAAGGTGCGTTTTCATTAGCGTGACTATAAAAGATGCTTTTAGTACAAAATTAAGAACACGGCACCATGATAAAGCTTGTCAACAACGACCTCAGTAAAATAGAAAATATGGAATTTAAAACGAAAGAATTCGACAAACGAATGAAAAAAAATAATCTGATTTTAACCAGATTGCCCTAAAAGTGCCTTATGTGCATTGGAAGTAGCAGCTTCAATTGGCAAAAGAGTCTGCTTACATGTTAAATACGTTTTTTTTTCATAAGGTATTTGAAAACAGTTTTAAAAATGTCCGTATATTTCCAAAGCAAAGATTTAACTTCTGTCCTAAAACGATTCAATGGATGATCGACTGTTGTATTCAATTCTTTGATGAAAAATACTTCATTGAAATATTAATAAATCTATTTCCTATTTCGAAATCTATGAGATTTATTTTTAGAATTTTTTCCCCCTCTTTTCAAAACCTTAGCAATTATTATGTGATATGTTTTCCTGTGTAAAATAGAATTGTTTTATTTTAGTTGCCTTTCATTACGAATTAGCCATCAGAATATTATTTATTTAAAACACGCCAGTAATTCTGGAACCATTTTAGAAAATATGTTGAAAATGTTGATTGCAGTGACAAATATGTACAAGACTCCCATCTTAAGAAAATGTGTCAATTTAGTTTTCGATTATTATCGTTAAATTAAGCTTTATCGTCTAATCACTACATTATCCACGACCATTTTACATGTTCATTTACACGTCCATGCGTTTTAACTGGCAGCCCACACGCGAAAATGAATACTTCTCTTTGCCTAAACTAATTTAGACTTTTAAAAATTAGTCTGATAAGAGAATTGGTATTTACGGTGGGTGTGGCCAATCCGTAAGGTGCGCGCACTACGATTGGTCAATTTCCATTATTCCATCCCCATTCCTCCCAATCAGTGCCTAGTGCTGACTATGACTGACAGCTGATAGAAACCATGCCTCAAATATGTAAAATAAAAATTCCTCGTGTCAATAGAAAATGCAAACTAATCACAACTGGTTGATAGCGACATTATCAAGGGAAAATATTTTGGTTAAGGCAGAATGTTGTGTGACGCTTGATTTAGATAATTCAAAATCAAAACTTATCATCAAGTTTAGTTGTTCAAAACAAGCGACGTAGAAGAGAAAATTGCCGACATTTTGGTAAAAAGAATGAGCCAAGTCGATTAACGGAATTATTAAAAGTTTGGAGTAAAATCTGGAGCCCATCAAATTACAGGGTTTACATCAATCCCGTCTTCTTGTTGAAACGTCATCCAGGAATTTCATCAGCTCGTGGAGATTGGAACGTCAGTGGCGCGCGTCTCATTTCGTCACTGTGCGAGGCAACGTAAACAGAAGGGTGATTTGTATAAACTTGGACTTGAAGGCAAGTGCAGCATTTCCGCTGTGCTTCATCGAGAAAAGAAGACAAACATTATTTAAATTTCAAGGCGTAGAATTGGTTAATTAATTAAACAATCGGAGTTTTAATCATGAACCTTAGCGCTATGGATTACAAACTGAATTTATCGCATCAAGATTACTACACCAGCGGTCCAGGAGTCAAAATGGAGCCACTGGAATCATCGAAATATTTGGAAACAAAAAGTTCTAAAAATGAAAAAATAACAGCGGATATTCCGGAAAAGAAGAGCGAAGACCATTCTCATTCCGACAGCAAAAAGGAATCTGCAAAGGACAGTTCGAACGAGCATACGGATCCGAACACCAAACCGCCGTATTCTTACGTTGCTCTGATTGCCATGGCCATAAAAGAATCTACAGAAAAACGTCTGACTTTAAGTGGTATATATAATTTTATCGTTGCTAAATTTCCTTATTATGAGAAAAACAAAAAGGGATGGCAGAATTCTATCAGACATAATTTAAGTTTAAATGAATGTTTTGTGAAAGTTCCAAGAGAAGGGGGAGGGGAACGGAAGGGCAATTACTGGACAGTCGATCCGGCTTTTGAAGACATGTTTGAAAAGGGAAATTATCGACGAAGACGGAGGATGAAACGACCCTACAGACCAGCCATATCACTACCCAAACCCTTATTTGCCGATTCGAGCTGTGCCTTCAATCAGTTTGCTCTGACCAAGAACTATTTCTCATCCCCGTATTCTCAATATTCGAACTATTCACCATGGAGTTTAACTCATAATTCCTCACAAAATAACATGGGAATGTCCAATATAAATAATTACGGTTCCTGTCAACGAGTGCCCTCTGCAATAAATCCCTACCCTAGTATGCAGTCGGCAGGGGTTCAGATGTCTCCTACGCCCTCTCCGTACCCCCAGTTTAACGAATACGGGTCTGTGACGGGATCAGGGCCGTTCGCTTTTCCATGCCGTCAACAAACAGAAGCCTTTAGTCCAATGCATTATCCTTATTGGACCGATAGGTAAGTCTAATTTTAAAATATATATTTTTTTCATATTTTCATTTTTGTTTCTTATTATCATTCAGTGTGGGTTTAAATGTATGCTGCTAAACCAACTGCATCTTAGGGCCCCAGAATCCGCAATAAAGTTTTGTTAATGTCGATGTACGATCCGCTTCGGGAGGCCTAGTAACAAGGGACCCCAAACTTTTGTTAAGTTTATAGGGCCTCATCAAATCTAAATTCTTCACTTGGCTAATGTTGTATTTCGGAAAATATTAAACCAAATTTTGGTAGCAAGTTTATAAAAAATATACGAAAGAAAATAATTACAAATAACAACCGAGGGCCAGTCATTTAACTGTAATTCTATTAATATTTACATAGTCGTCCGGATGGGAAGAAAAACCCAGGTCCCGTGTTAACATTAAAACAACAATTGACATTTGTAATTCGAAATATTTAAACAACAATTTAAAACAACAATTGACATTTGTAATTCGAAATAAGAGTAGGTCGTAGTGCCGCTGTCCGGGCAAAATTCACTAGCTCAATCGGTGTGGAAAAGTAGGACGTTAAACCCATTTTATTTCATTTCTATTAATATTTACAAACCACCATGCATGAAGTAGTACAACGAAAAGCTCGGCCGACATTATTATATCTCTTTTATTCCCAAACATAGAACAGACATCCCCTCGGTAAATTACTAAAATACAGTAACTTTTCACACAATTATTAATTTTGACGCATCATGGCCGATTGTATTTAATTTCACACAGTAACTCTATTTCAAAATCTATTTTTCCAAAACCGAATTCTATCAAAGAGTTAACTGCCATCCTAGATCGCTTTTCAACAATATTCGAGATAGTTTTTTTTTTTACATTACTATTAAAATACGAATGCAATAATGGGTCGAATAAAATAACATTAGGAAATCTCTCAAATAATATAAGATAGATTTTTTATTTTATTAAAAAATAAAATGACCAAAGATGTTTTGAATTTAATATCTTAGAATACTTTGTCCGTTTCAATTTCCAACCGTCTCAGGGATATGGATCTAATTATTGTGCTTTGTTATGTCTGTATTTTGCCGTGCGCTTCTCCTATCTCAGCGTATGTAATTGATAAATAATTAAGTTATATTGGAAGAAATAGAATAAAATGGGATTTAACGTCCCCCTTTTTCTGCACCAAACGGAGACAGAATAAAAAAAAATACTTCTGAGTTTATCAAAGCAATATCCGATATTTACGTCACATGATAATGGATTTTAATTGTGTAAATGGCGTGTCATATCTCGACTAAATCATGTCGAAGTTTTCACAAATAATCACCTACAATAAATAAATGGTTTAATACAAATATTTTGAAATGGTTTTCGCCATCTCGGGATTATTTTCTCTCTAAATGTAAAGAGAATATTGCTAGTTGGGCATCACGGGGTGTCGGCTACGAGCGAGAGGTTACAAGTTACAAGTCGACGGCTCGTAAAACTTTAGATATTTAATCCACTTAATTTAAACATCTTTGTACACTTTGTAGTGCCTCTTATCGACTCAATCTATCTAAGGGTCTACACCCACTGTACGATATTTAGTCGACAACGTTGCGATTTTTTAAATCGAACCTAGTCAACGACTTCTCGAGTCGACAAAAGGCGATTATTAATCGCGTTTCTGTGGTTTTGTTTTTGAGACGGGAGTAATCGTTTAGTGAGCTTTGTCGACTTTGCATAGTCATAATTCCTGTAAAGACAGTTGTATAACTTGTAAACTGTGCGCTCGTCTTTAGAATGGCACAATAAGCTGATAGACCACACATCAAATGAATTTGCCATATTTATTCGTTTTTAGCTATTGTTTGAATGCAGTTTTTATCTTGTTTACAAAACAATAGGTAATATTTTGATTCCGTACATGACTAAGGCAAATATATTTCTTCGTGTTTTGTAAATATTTTGGGTTATACTTTTCTCCTTCAGTCTGTCAGAATTGTAAAAATGTTAAAGACGAGGTGCTGTTATTATGAAGAAGAAATTTACACAATGTTATTTAAATGTTAATTAACTAGTAATTTTAAAGGCGAGGTGCCGTTATTATCAAGATGAAACTTACACAATGTTATTTAAACGTAATGATAAATAAATAGTTTCTATAATTAAATTAATTGTTTTCTCGGAATATCCATCTCTGATAATATTGTGTATATATGAGTGAATAAATAAATGAATGAATGAATTGAGTTTAAGGCCTTTTCAGCACCAAATAGGCTAATGAACACGGACATTAACATAAAGAATACAACCTCAAAGAATATTTTAACGTATAATTGGAATTAGACACAGTAAACTAATTTACTAAATATAATTAACAATTAAGTAGATTTAAAAAACAAAACTAAGGGGCTTACTTGATATATATGTGTTACCATAATACATATTATATTAATACTTTCTACATTAAACAATTTCTTGATATAGATGTAGATGAATTCTCGGATCACTCCCTTTAAAATATAACCTTATAATTTCATATTCATATTTTCTACATTAAAACATGTCGGATCACTCCCTTTAAAATGTATAATTTTATATTTACTTTCTACATTAAAAGTTTTATTAAAGAACTAACTTCCTCACTTAATACTTTAACTAAAAACATATTTTATAGAACTTATACATGCTCTATTTATAAAACCTTATGATTCACATATCACCCCCATAATTACCTTAAATTTGTTCCAGAAAATCTGAAAATCTCTCAGAAAATTAGCCGATTTTGCTTAAAATCTCTTAGCAAAAATTGGGGAAAACACCTCGTTTTATTATCTTTCATATTCAAATATTAATTTTGTAAAAATTTGGATCTATACCCATAATAACATCGCATAATTGAATCAGAAATTAATTTATCTCAGTGTCAAATTTTTGTTCTTCCCACACAAAATTGAACGGATTTGTAGATTCAAGACGGGTGGCTTTTTAAATTAATTTTCGCACGCTTCCCTCTAAATTACACTGACGTCCATCAAAATTATACCAATATGGCTAAATATAAAAAAAAAAAATCAAGTCAGACGCAAGTTAAATGAAATGGAATGGGGTTTAACGTCCTACTTGTCTGCACCGATAGGGCTAATAAAGGATGCACGCTAGAGAGATATTCTATCAAAATTCAAACTGGAACGGGTTCCAATAGCCTACATCAGATGTATGGATTGTACAAAATATATTATTAAGCTAAATGTAATGTCCACTCAGACTCAACACAAACTAGTTAGTTTCGGGACGAACAACTCAAGAGTAATTAATTCAGAAAAAAATAAAATTATTAAAAGTATATTATTTAGCCAATATTGAAATATGTAGCCTGTTATCTAATGTAACGATAGTTGACGTTTTTTAAAACAAATTTAATTAAGTTTAACCAATTTTATTTCAATAATTTAAGGTCTTTTCATTATTAATATTATTCCACATCAAATTTCACAAAATTGGTAAAAATAATAAAACACCATAGTTTTAAAACCGAGAAATGGAAAAACTATCAAATTATTTCAACCCTAAAGTAAACACGGTGATATCTTTTAAACTTTCTCAACCGGAACCAAGAAACGAAACGAGCGACATGAAAATTTGGAACTCAGTTTTAATGAAACGGAAAACGATGGACGCGGGAGGGTTTTGTTTTCTTTTCATTGAATCGGGTTATTTGAGTTGAGCTTATCTCGATTCTCTTGATAAAATTCTCATAGTTCTTGTATTCCGGATTTTAAAATGTAAAACAAGATATTTAGCCTGCCTTCAACCACTGATTTCATGTACGATATTAGATTTGTTTAAAAACATGAGTTAGAAAAAAAAAGAAGTAAAAAAGGGGGATTTAATCCAATTGTAAGAATCATAGATTTTGACGCTTCTGTTTTTAAAAAAATACAACCCACTTTATGTTTTGATTCTCGATTTTAAAAAAGATATTCATTTAAGAAAGAAAACTCCCATTTTTAAATTAAATCATTAAATGGCCAAACTGTTCTAAAATCCGATCGCATTGAGAGATAATTAATGTCTTGTCATGTGAATAAATGTCTAATTAATAGTTTATATAACATTTAAGAAAGACCTGCAATAGGCAGATTTAGCTCTTGCATAATGCATGTTTAATCCTCTCTTATTTAGGTGGTTGGATGGTCGAATGGTTAGCGCGTGTGCGTTGTGTCTGTTATTTGGTCAACTGGTGTGGTTTCGATTCCCTCGGTTGTATACGTGACAAGGAGTAGGGTCGCCTACCAACCTCCTGGGTTTTCTCCGGGTCCTTTGGTTTCCTCTTTGTCAATACTTAACGGAATTAAGCCATTTTCACAATATTGTAATATGCCAAGAGGATTAACAATTCTTTATAATGACAACCAGAATGTAATATCGAAGCACCGTCTAAACGTCACATGCATTTCAGAAGTCGCAATTTATATTTAATTTTTTAAAATGTCGATTTGAGAAGTAAAATGTTGGTTCCCATGTCTTGAAATGTTGACATGGCGTTCCCGATGGATTTCATGAAAATATAAATTCCATCAATCATATTACACGTTGTCTGATAAAATCTAAGGCCAAGACATGTAGACATTTTGATTTTTATGATTGTGTACAAACAAGCTGAAAATAAAACGATAGCAGATACAAAAACACATGCATAACAAGTTCGACCCCGGTCGAGAGTAACCTCGCCAAGTTGTGGTCATGAACGGTGGTTTGCTGTCTCAACCGATATGTCCACAAAATTTACATTGAAGACAAATGAAAATAATCCGATAGTAGAAAGACTCCGTAGTTTACAGCGAGCTTTGTCAGTTTGTTGTGGTCACACTACTTTTTTTTTTCTTGTCTTTTTTTGTTTAAACCAATGGAAGAAAGATTTTCAGAACGCACCAATGCAAACTTTTCAAAATTAGACGACAAAACGAGCGTTCTGTAAACATTAGAAATAATTAAAAATCTTGTTAACTCAGCATGAGAAAATTTTAACCTCATCATCCTATCTTAATGTTTTTATCAGCCCTATTTACACATTATACCATGAACTATGACCTCTTTAATGACACGTAAATGACGTGTACGGGTCAGAGGGCAATTGATCTGATTTCCTGCTAATGTCAATGAGGTATAAATTTTGACACGTGAAATTCGAATCGTAAATTGAATATTGGATAGTGCGATATCCCCCATTGTTATCAGAATTCGCCTTTCATATGATAAGAAATAAATTTGTAAATTTGACAAGAATTTGTTTTGAAAGTTGTTACGTCATTGATGATATGACGTCAATCACTCGGGCAAACCTCAGCAGGTTCCAGTACCCTACAACTAGCCTCGCCTGTATGACGAAGTCCGCCACTGGAACTACTTTCAAGTTGCCGGATTACAAACGGCGTTGCCCATGACGACGCCTTTAAAGAATGTTTTATCATTAGAAGCTTTCAAATTCTGAAGCTGTTTTTCTTTCAAGTTTACCCGATTTTCTTTACACAAGGACAACTTTGCATTGAGAATTCTACACACTCCTCGAACGACGCAATTTTGAGAACTTTTGTGTACAAGCGGCAAGTTTTCCTATTAAGTAAACCGATAGCCGCATCGCGATTGTTTAGGCGTAGGTACATATCACTCACCGTCATACAGCCGAGGTAAGATGTAGAGTACCGGAATCTGTCGAGGTTTTCCGAGTGACCTGCGTTTCTGTTAGCTGAGATTGACTATTACCATAAATTGTGCTTATGTATTTTTTCGGAATTTGAAATAGACCTCAAAACTGTTCTTAATTCTGTCATATGGTCCTGTCTAAATACGAATACCCCCCCCCCCTCTCTCTCTCTCTCTCTCTCTCTCTCTCTCCCTCTCTTGGCTCGGGTTTAAAATGAAATCGAAAAGACCAGTATCAAAATTATCAACTTTAACACGTTGAATTGGAAGTCGATATAAATATTATTTATTATTCAAAAGCAAACTCAAAATTGCGTTTTGTAATGCATTTAGCGTGGACGGTATAAATCCAATTGCGGTTTGTAATGCATTTTGACATGTACAGTAGATCCAATTTGTCGTGTAGAACTGAAACACGTGGAAAACAGAAATAAATCTTAAGTTTGAGATATAAAAATGAAGTTTTTATGACTGTCTAACAAATTGATATTTTAGTAAAAAGATAACCTTTAACACGGGTCTCTAAAAAAGTATTTTAAAATAAAATTAATTGGAAAAGTTAAAATATATCACAGAAGATCAAGACACTCTCCATAATTTACTCTAGAAAGACAAAAAAAAGACAAAAAAAAAAACCATTGAAAAAAATTAACTAGCAAAAATCATGTCCTAAAATTCTAAATATTCTCTTCAAAGGTTTCAAATGGAGAGAAAAAGTGAAGCGATGAGGGAAATGGTGAACGGATTTTAACTAATTATGTACAATATCAATTTCGTGTTTTGGGGTTTGTTTATATTTCAGTTTCATAAACAAAACCGTGCAAGCCAGAAGGAAAAGCTTTTTACATTATTAAAGAACATTTGGTTATCATTTAGTTAGTCTGAATGTTGCAAAGTTTTCACTTAGAAAAAAAATTATTGTTTATTTTAGGTTATGTTCGTTAAATTGATGCTTATTTTGCGAAACAATTAGATTACCAGTTACAAACCGAAACAAAGAAATTCTTGTAACAAACTGAAAGGTTTTTTATTATATGGCATTTTGAGTGGAGATGAAAATGCATGTTAATAAAAGAAAATTATTCTTTTTTGGAGTAAATGTTTTTCATCCAAGTGGATTGATATCTTTAATGAATTTTCAAATATATATTCTGCCTACCTACCTTTTAAGGGACCATAGCTCTGTTTTTTGGAACTTTAATATAAAAGAAAATGGTCTTTTAGCACGTATTCGTGTAATACGAGTGCACAAAGGGATTTACATTCAATTTTCTTTTTAAAAATTTGTAAATTGTAATTTATTATGTTCGGTAAAATACGTAAACAGTTCAAATTGAGGTCCATTCTACACGTTTTTTTTAAAAAATAAATTTGTCATTTGTGAATCAGCCAAATTTTTAATTACGCCCGCTTTGTGTTGTGGGGTATGTTTTTCTTGGTAAATTACAAATGGCGCTCGAAACCATATAATATACGAGTCGTGTACTGATTTTAAAATGTTCATCATGTATTAAATATTGGACATTTGGATCCCGTATTTTCACAGTAAGACGAAACGTCAATATGGGATATGATGATCCTATAGCCTCACAGCAAGATAACAACATCAACACTGATTGAAATGGACCAACTTTGAATTCTAATTCGTGTTTTTAATTTTGAATATTATGGATAATAGACGTTTAGCCCCTTTAATAAAGAGCATGGTGTATCTGAATTTGCTTTTATATATGGTTAAAACTCAATCGGATTAAAATACAGATCTATACTTCGTTTCGTTTTTTTTGTACTTTCGATGGCCTCCACCGTATAAAGATCTGACCAGTTGTAGTGGGAGGTCGCGTGAGGGGTAATACCAAAATTTGGACAATAAAAAACGAAACGAAATATGATCTCTGTTTTAACCAGATTGGTTAAAATTCATCTTCTAGTATGCTAATTGTTCGTATTTAATGTATATAGTTTGCGTCTCGTAGAATTCACCATATGCTTCATACAATACAGTCCGGTTGATGTTGGCGTGCCATTAAACACCATTTCATTTATCTGAATTTAGTTTAACAATCCCGATGTGGCGGGTTGACACGGTACTCAGTTCGGAATGGATTTATCATACATATAGCTTCACTTTCTATTGTCTTAATGAAATGTTCTCACAAAACTGTTTGTTATTGGGCAAATAAAGAAACAAAAATAGTTATGTTTAATGTTTCTTGGCCCCAATCAGTAGGATCGGTCAGTCGGTCGGAATATGTTTGTTTCGAGAAGTTTGTAATCTCTATTTCCTAGAATTCCTTGTTTTAATTCCTGGGAAAGATCCTTGAAAATAATACCGATATTTCAGTGTTGGAATTTGTCAAGAGAAAATCACGCCAACGCCGAGTTATAGGGCCTGGGAAATGAGAGAAACAAGTTTAGGGTCGGCGATTTTGGCTAAAGACAACAACGTCGGCCGGTTAACCCTAAACGCAGGTATTATTTATTTTGGCCTTACTATAAATCTCTGATTTGGTGTTATTTTGTTTGTTTATCTATTATTTTTGGACCTAACACTGGCTTTGGGGTATTTTATTGTATATTATATTTGCCGACTGCCACTTGACTTGCAAAAATTTCGTTCATAAGGTCGCATTAAGTGCCGAGTCAAACCGAGTACCCAGTCAATCCGCCACACCGGAACAATATTGATTGATCACGTCACGCGTTTTTGTATTTAGATGTGTATGGACCAACCTAAATATATAATTACTAATTTCGCCCTGGCAGTGGCTCTTCGTTGGACTCGTCTACAAATTCACACTATATATTATAGATGCTATAAAATTACTGATATATTATTATTTTTTTTTCCAGATAATATATGTAAAGATGTTAGTAATTACAGATAGGCGTGTTTACCAATTATTATTATTATTATACTCTGATTGGATCGTAATCTAAGACGAAAAACTGTGCCAAAAGACTACACATATTTTGCTAAATCTAGTGCGACTGTGTGAATACATAGAAATTATATGATACCTTGGCAGTCAAAACACAAAAATACTATGTGCCAAAATGACCATTACAGTTTGGAAGTGCACTCCTGGATTTTCGCAGAAGGCACGTTACCTGGAACGAAACGATGATATGAAATGTAACCTAATCACTGATTAGTTGATGACATCTTGTAACCTAATACCTGATTGGCTGTTGATGTTTCCGAAAGGTCACCTTACGCATTGTATTTTATTGAACAAACCTTTCAGAGACGTGTTTGCGTAATTAATGCGAGTAATGACTGTGCGTAATTAATGCGAGTAATGACTTCGTGTAATTAATGCGAATAACGACTTTTTGTAGTTACTGTGAGTAATGACTGTGCGTAATTAATACGGAGTTATGACTGTGTATTTAGTACTGTTATTACTGGACTGGGTCAATATGAATGTTTGGCGATTGCGAGTTAATGTCCATCGCTTATCTATGGTGGCTGTTAGCGGCCATTCAAATGAATCTAAATCGTCGCCTTGTGAGGAAGGCGACAAGTCGACAAAATCAACCCACCAACAAATATATCCGAGAAAACTAAGCAGCATAATTATAGAACCATTTTTCGAAATTTCTATAAACATTTTAAGAATATCGCCCTTGACCTATCAAAAATGATCATTTGAAGTGAACAACTTTATTCTAAATTCGTATTTTATGTTCGATTGTAGCACGTGGCATATGTGTTGTATTTAAGGTCTGGTCAATTATCCTGGGTATGTCCACGGGTATCGTATAGATAATCTACTCTATATTGTCAAGTGGAAACCATTTGGACTGGTATATCCGCGACTAGGCATGTTAGTCAAGGTCGCTGAGATGTAAATAAGATTAGGGCACGTGATTGTTGGCGGGATTGTGGGCTAGGGTTAGGGTAAGCAATGGAGCTAGGTCCAGGTTTAGGGTTGGGATTAGCGCTAGCCCTGATTACCTCGCGTGACCTATGACGAAAAATTTAGCTGACCTTAACAAATAGATTTAGTCGGAAACATGCCGTTACCATGAAATAAAGACAGCTGGCGGTATCTTAAATTCCGTTTACATCACAAATTTTAAGTGTGCCAAAAAAAGAGCCTATCTATAGAAGGGGACGGTTAATTTTTTTGTAGTGTAGCCTTGGTCATTGTTGCATTAATTATTGTAATTTCTAAATAAATGTCCAAATTATTTAAAGATACATTAGGGGTGGTTAGATAAAGAATTGACTATTCTCGCTATAATAGTTAAAAAATAGAAGATGTTGAAAATTTCAGTCTAATTGCTAAACTATTAAAAGAGATGTTAGCTTTTAAATTTTAGGCCTAACCTCGATCATCATTACTAAAGTCGGTACGATAAAAAAAAACATAGTCTCGATTATCCATTTTTTGATTTAATCATCAATGAGCTTTGAGCCGCAGATTGGATTCAAATCCAGTGAAAATCCGATACATAAGATGACATCGAGAGTTGATAAAGGTCTTTTCATGTTAATAAATGTCCAATTGATAATTTATATAACAGGCCTGGAATAGGCAGATTTAGCTCTTGTATAATGTATGTTTAATTGGGTATATTTCATGAAATTATTTATTTTCTTGGTGGTAGAATTTATAAATATTAATGATTTCAGAATATAATATCTAAGTGAAGTTTATCTGTTTTAATTATTTATTTATTATGATTAGCTTGAAGCTAATTTTAATTTTGATTAATTCATATAATAATTAGACGGTGAATAAGTACCTCCATTATTTGTTGAAATATTTATATATATCCTGAAACGGTCAATTAAAATTACATATTTCGTTTCGGTTTTTATTTTGTTAGCATGCACTCTTATTTAAAGGTCAACATAATCGTGAAATGATACGAAACGAAATAAGACTACAAATCCCAGGGCCGAACAATTATTATTTTGTCGACGATAGTTCGTCCTCGGTTCCCGTAGTGCGACATATCTTCAGGCTGATCTACCCTCGACGATAAAACCAGATACAAAATTACTAACGATGAACAAGCAACATTCAGGACGAGCTTTAAGCCAGTTCGACTAATTACTCCCAATTGAACCAGTTAGGCCCCATACTAGGGTAATCTGCTCTAGTCTTCTCAAGTTATTCTGCCTTACACTTAAATACGAAAGTATGCTTTTAATTTAAAAAAAAACCCATTTATTTCTGGCTATTTTTAATAAATCATTTCCCTAAAGGAGACACAAATGGTCTTCATTGGGCCACGTAGCCTTGAAGACCGGTCCTGTTTTACACACTGACTTTATCGCCGACAATCTGGAGATTTTCCTGACATCCAAGGCTAATTCTTCTTAGGATGAAAATCACCAACAAATAATCATTGATTATAGAATCAATAGAAATCCTAGTATAAAGGAGAGGGATGATATAGGCTATGGCTAATGTCTGTTCATCCATTTGAAATAAAATATTGTTTATTTTTATTAAATAAGAAGGGTCTCACCTTAAGAATATTTAGTTGTAATTTTTTTTATTGAACAAGAAACTCTTCTTGTAAAATGTGTATTTAGTTGTTTATTTGTAATATTTGATTATTTTAATGATATTGGAAAAATAATCTAGAAAATTATCTAGAAACAGAATAAAATGTAAATAGAACAAATATTATTGTGTTTTGATTCCGTTTAGGACTACCCTGTGGTTCCCGACGTTCATCACCATTTTGTGGAGGGGGGGTTGGATGGCCGAAAGGTTAGCGCGTGTGCGCTGTATCATAGGGTCTGTCATTGAGTCAACCGGCGTGGTTTCGAATCCCCGGTTGTACGTGACAAGGAGTAGAGTCGCCTGTCCATCCTCGTGGGTTTTCTTCAGGTCCTCCGGTTTCCTCCCACTGCTGCCTAAAGACCCTTTATTGAAATAAAATTGATCCATAGTTCTCTTCACCATGTTGTGGTCATAAATGATTAATTCAAGCTATGAATGGACGAGTAAATAACAGAAATGTGATTCATTTTCAGGGGGTTGGAGAAAGTTGCAAAGCTGAATGCTTCTGTCACATTTCACCGAGCTCCGTTCACGTACGGTCGAGAAATATGACTTGAAATGTCAACAAGAGAACTCCACGGGATAAACTTGTTGAATGATTTGATTTATTCATCCTTTGTTCTGGATCTTGGGATGCGTTTAAATTCAGATGGTTCTTTTATAATAAGCTTGATGCCTTCGCATACATTGCATAACGTGGCGAAACCCGCCTTATCGTGTGGTTGCGGACAGACGAATATGCAGGGCCGTCATTGGGTTGGGACGCATGAACCGTTTACAAGTAAACTGATCAGATTCTAATAATGGAGTCAAATGCTCTCCCTGACATTCCACAGCGTCAAATTGTATTTTTCTCAAGGGTTTCGAAATGAACATGAAATAAAAAGGGGTTTAACATCCTACTATTCTGCTCCGACTGGGCTAATGAAGACAGACATACACCATACAGTGTGTTATGAGGGAAGGTATCTTTTACGTGCACACCAATGTGTACACGGGACCTCAGTTTTTCGTTCCATCCAAACGACTAGAATGCTGTCCTTGTCAGACTCTTCATCAAATGTTTCGAGTGTAATGATGTATCTGCTCTGTGGATGTGTAAATTAATATATCGTTTGTTCTATTGGGATTGCTGTATTCAAGCAGTAAGGCAACTGAAATCTCAAAAACCGCGTCATGGACCAAGAAGAACCTCGGGACAGTTTAAGCCTGGTGTCCACTTGTATGTCTTTGAGACTGGTAAGTAAACCGAGGTCTACCAGTGCACACGTTGACGCGCTGGTCAACGAACCCTTTACAGGAAAAGCTCCCCCTAGCATTGTACACGCTTCATTTCTGTTAAAGGTTTTCAAAAGATCAGTACCTGTCTCTAAACACCCCTAACAGCTAGATTTAACCCTAACAGCTAGAATTAACCCTAACAGCTAGAATTAACCCTAACAGCCAGAATTAACCCTAACAGCTAGAATTAATCATGGTATTGTGAGATAACTCTGTATAGGACCATCGGTGAGGTGTTGATTTCGAGATAGAGGTGTGATTTAACGCGTACTAGGTCATTTCGGGACTAACATATAATTAATCTTTATTCAATCTACTTGCACGCAGAACCCCGAGACCCTAATCCCTGTCACGTACAATATCCCCTTTCTCTCTCTATCTCGCTCTCTAAGAACCGAAGATCATGAAATAACGTCCTACTTTTATGCACCGACCGGGATAATGAAGATGAGCACACGTCATTAAATATCCTGTGGGGGAATTGAGCCCGGACAGCGGCGCCACGGGCAACTCGAATATCGAGTACGCAACGTATATACGGGACCTTGGGTTTTGTACCATTTGAAGGACTGGACAATTTCCTCGTCAGTCCCTCCGTCCCGATCCACAGCAAGGTTCTTCGTGTTCAAACGGGGCGTTGAGTATGTATATATCAGAAAGTAACAAATCAAGTAGAAAGTTTATATCAATCCTAGTTATAACTCCAACCGTGTCCTTATCAAGGTTTATCTTCTCCTATCTGTTTTAAGATATTACAGATTCACTTTACTTACTGTATCACTTTACTTACTGTATCTTGTGGGTGGTAACAGATTAAACACCCACAAAATAAAATACAAATCCTCTTTTTACTTAATTTAAAACATTCAACAATTGTCGACATCCAATATAAACAAACCGGCATGTTTTACAACTGGAAATCTTAAAACAAATGGATCACCCAAAAACACAAATGTTTTCGCGTGCCAGTTTAAAATAGAGTTGCCCATTATTTAATGGAGAAATTCCGACGGGCCACATTTCACATAAAGAACACGATCGTATATAGGACCGAATTTAGATGCAGTGAGACACTATAGGCTATTCCGCTTATGCGACCCCTCCCAATCTCCCATCCTCACGTCGCCTGTCCAACCTCGTGGGTTTTCCCCGGGTCCTCCGGTTTCCTCCCACTGCTAAAGACCCCTACGCGCATGCGAATTATTGAAATAAAAATGAACCATGTGTTAGTACCGAAATGACATGGATTGTGTCGAGTGGACGTTAAACCCCATTTCTCTCTCCCTTTTATCATATTTTGAGGTCAGTCGGTCAGTCGTAGCAACCTTGTTAACCGCATAGAAACGCATCCGAAAGTATCTGCACGTACCAGATCGTGGACGAAATAGGGAGAATCCTGTCGTTAGGAACCGCATGGCAGTGGGAACATAGCATTAGCCTATAGATAAATCTGGCACTGGTCATTGATTGGAATACATCAATAATCTCGAATTATTACCTCCCTTGTTTTGAGTTATTATGCTTGGAATATTATTATTCAGTGTAATAAATCAACCCAATCGTAGTCCTCCCCTCCCCACCAAAAACAAAATCGGAGATACATGCAGTCCACGATTGGTTAAAGTTTGACCATTGATGCACCGATGAATGATGACCATGATGACCTTGGTTGTATCAGTCAGCCAAGAATGTATAGTAGATCTGGTAAAAATGTGTGGGTGTCAAAGATCAATCTACTAATGACTGGAACATGACCTTAGAATATTATTAGTCTTGTTCTACCAGACACATTAACAGGGAGTGTAGATTCATACAGCAATATCTGTATACAATTTGTCATAGATACAAATAAAATGAAATAGGGTTTAACGTCCTACTGTTCTGCTCTAATTGGGCTAATGAAGACGGGCATACGCCATTCAGTGCACTATAGGGGGCCATTTTGCCCGGATCCCGGATCTACGGTCTACTCTAATATCGAATGCCAACTGTCAAGGGATCTTTTACGTACACGCTAATCT